CTAATTTCTTCGTTTCTGTGAAATTTTACACACCAACGATGCAAAGAAATTTATTTCTCAGGTTTTGCATCCAAGAAAATATTTATTCAAATACAAAAATAATTGTGTGTGTTGCTCTTTTTTATTTCATTTTTTTGTATTTTGTGAATATAATTCTGCATGTGCGTATCAGAAATTTTCTTGAAGAAATTCTCCGATTTAACTTTTTGAAACCACTCATTTAGGACGAAAATATTTACACACACATTTGTAAATTTTAAATGTAAATATATATTGCAGCAGACAAACCTCAATTTTCTCATTGAACATTTTGTGTGCTACTATGTAAGTTTTAATACCAACCTTTTTAAAGTTTTATATCTTAACAATTAGACGTCTGTTGCACATCAATTGTTTAATACATAGGTACACATTAAAATTATTGTAGCCCGAATTTTTATTATTCATTTAACATTTTTAAAAATATTATTAATAACAATTAAATATTTTCAAAAATCTACTTCTTATTTTAATTTTTTAATTCAATACTTTTGTTTTGTACCACTTGGTAAAAATCTGACAGTAATATTTAATGTTCCTTCAAACAAAAAAAACGAGTCCTACATAAAATTTCGACAAAGTTGCGGCCCGCCATTTGATTTGTGTTTTTAATTATGGCCCCTGCTCTCATGTAAATTGGAAACCCCTGATTTAGATCATCATGGTCTAAGTCAGATGTACAAAAACAATTCACTCTTTCTAAGAGATCATCAAAACAAAATTTGAGATAATCATACAAACTATTTTGCTAATAGATAAGTACAAACAGATAATAGTAACAAAAATTTCAAGGAGAACAGAGATTCATTAATTTATTTAACAAGAATTAATAAATGGATCTGTCAGTAAACATTAATTAAAATAGGTCAAATGATAAGCAACATACAAATTTAACTCAGAACTCTTATAATTGAAGCTACGTATTTTGTAATTATTTATATAAAATATAATAACTTCTTAAGCAAGTAAAAAAAAAACAAGTACACACTTACGATCTTCGAAGTTGATTGTTGGTTGCGACATTAGTTGTCTCTCTTTGAGAACGACCAAACTTTGAATTCATTTTATTTTCTAATGCAGCACATTTATTATTTCATTCCTGTGAATAAAAACTAACAATAGCTAATATTAAAGCTAATTAAAAGGAGGAAAACTTTAAGACTTTCAATTTACATCTAATCTGACAAGGAAAGAAAATACAAGAAATTAGCAGAACAGAAGAGATGAGAGGATAAAATATTTAAAATGTTTTTAATAAGTCGCTTATAACCTCTTATGTCTTAAATGTTTTTAAAATTTTATTTCATTAAAACAAGTTTAAATGTACATGAAGTCTCTATAAATTACAAAAAATCAATTCTTAATTTTATTTCTTCAATTTAGTAAAAATAACAGTTATTTGAAACTTTACAAGCTAAAAGCTCGTTATTTTTGTTAACAAATAACAATGTCATATCGTATTATATCAAGCAGCGGAAACAACTAGCAGGCAGTAGTTAAGCCGGCTTAATTAAAAAAGTTTATAGTCTTTTAATTGAATTCGAATTTAAAATGACACCATCAAAGCTGTTAAAAGATGCAGTTAACATTTTAAAGTTAAATTCTCAAATTATTGAAAGCATAAGTAATCAGGTATTATGCATGAAATATTCCTACGTGGTACCGCATTTATTGATTATTTATTAGTTTTACTTATAATTTCTCTTGCAATGAAACTAACGGAAAGATTTCCGTATTGTGATCTGTGGTAGAATAATTGCCAAGTCTTGGAAACTTCCAGGCAGTGATCCGCTGGAAACTAAAAAATCATCACAGAAAGGGACCAAGGTATAACTCATAGCCACCCCCGGGCAAACATCTACATGTTTTTTTTTTTTAAATTGCAAGTTTAAAATCTATTTGGCACCTTGACAATTGTAGTTGGCACGACAGATCAGAATACGGAAATGTCCCCCAAACCAACAGTATCAACATTAGAAATAAATGTTATGTTTGAAAAGAAAATTTATATTTTTTAAAAAAAAATTAAGCATGAATGATCCCCAAACATTGCATTCCAACACTGAGATTGTAGAATTCTTTCATCTCAATATAAATGTGTACCTTTTTTTTTTACCTCTAAAATGTCCTACTTATATCTGATATGTGTTAAATAAGTGGTCATATTAAAATTAGTGATACATATCATTATCGAGTTTGAGTGGCCGCTACAGGTAGGTCATTACATCTGATTTTGAATTGTGATGTAAAATTATATCTGTTATAAGGATCCAATACAAAATAATCATGATATTGGACCATAATTAAAAGAACGGGTAGGTTACTCTTTTCAAATGATCATCAGCATTTTGCATTGCCGAAAATCAAGGTTGGCAATTTCTCCCAAGACAGTGGGAAAAACCTGATGAAATTTAAGAAACTGAGAAAGACTATACAAATGTTTAGAAATTAACTAAGAATAGCTTAAATTTCAACGAATCAATTTTTATATAGTAGAAAGTAAAACGTTTTTCACGTTTTATAGCATTGCGTACGTACGTGGTAAAACTTGCGTTTAAAAAATCTATACATATATACAGTGTTCTACTTAAGCATTTTTAGAAGAGCGGCTTGCCCTTTGACATGCCCATTTTCTGAAAATGAGCCGTCATCCCTTAAAAACTTTCTTTTTATTCATATAATTTTTTTTAAAAATTAATTCAGTGTTTAATTAATAATTACACAGTGATAAAATTATCTGAGTTTATTATTTTGAGTCTGATTATTATTACAAATATTTATTTTGTTAGGATTATTCTCAATTGGTTTAATTATATAAGTTTCTCTTTTTTCGGGGGAGGGAGTATGTTAATTTTTTAAGCGATAATTTTAAAATTAACTTTTAAATAAGCATTTTTTTTTTAAAATGTCCCTTTAAATGTTTATTTTCTTATAAATTTTTTTTTAGTTTACTTCTTGTGAAAAAAAATTTGGTCAGTGATTGGCTTTTAACATGTCTTTATTTTTTGTAAACTACAAATTATCTCTTGTTTTGATAATGAGTGAGAATTACTTTTCTGAATTATACTACACATAAAATATTATAAGAAGGTAATTTAAAAAATACTACTGTGTAAAGTGAGTGCCCTTTCAGACCTTAAAAGTGCCTTTTTCTGAGGAAGCGCCCTTTTTTATTCGTAGGGAGAACTTCTAATGTATTTTTATACAGAATTTTAAAAACCTGTATCTAATTCAAGTGACTGTTTGAGTATTCATGCTTCACAGTATTTGATTAGAAGCTTAGTATTGTTAATTGCAATTTTGAATTCAATATGTAGGGTGACCCGGGGTAATTCACGATCACTCTGTTTCTGGGGTAAATAATGATCACGTAGTGTGGGCCTACTGTTGAGAT